ATTTGCCATCATTAAAACCTGGGGGACAAAAGTGTTTCAGTCACATCTCTGTAATTCCCCTAAACTGAAATTGTTAGCATAATCCAAGGCCGAGACTGGATCCAGCAGCCCTCAGCACCCCACAATAGGTTGGGATCTCAGGGGGGGCACCTCCCTTTCCCAACCCCCCTGTGTCCAAAGACCCCCATGGGACTGTAGGACCCACCAGACCACCCCCCTTTTCCACCCTTCTCCCTGTTTCTTCCCACTTTCCCACTGTCCCCTCAATCCCCAATTCCCCCCAAAAAAAAAGTTTTGGGGTCCAAACCCCCACTTTTTGCCTCTTTTCCTATGGTCGCTGAAGGAGAAAATGAGGCTGCACACACAGAGTTCCTTTGCAGGACTTGTCCCCTGACACTTTTCCGTGTCCCGTTTTATTCCTCTTCTCTTGTGAGCAGCACCTGGTGTTTGTCTTTTAGTCCACCAGAATTCCCAACATCACCCCAAAGCAGTGCCCTGATCCCACACATTCCCCTCGCCTCATGTGCTGGCTGTGTTCAGCCACCAGAGAAAAACCCAGGCTGGTCATGCAGGCTGGTTAAATTGCATTTCCACTTGGAGAAACAACCTTCTCTCTCTCCAAGCACTCAGCCAAGGTCCATCCTCCCTTTGCATTCCCATGAACTCAGTGCAGGTGCAGAGTGACTCTGCTTGGTCCCACCTCTGCCCCTGTTTTGTTTGGACAGGTAGAGTTCACGGCCAAGAGGGCCAGGACCCGGGCTTCTTGTCTTTGGGCTTGTCCCATGCGCTTCCAGAGAACTTGGAATATTGAAACCAGACAGATTCTGAAACACCTGCTCCTGATGCTGCCACAGTGCCCATACACTGGCACTGCAGGCATGGCCTACACTGAATGGCCAGTGCAGCAGGAACCAATGGCTGCGGTAGCTGCCCTGATTGCTGCAGAGATGATCCAAGCAATCAGCCATCCACTGAGGATTTCTTGATTTCACAGTTTCCTTCATTCACTGTATCCTGCATCATCCTCCCAGCTTCTGCTTAGGTTCACTGGGAGCCACAGTTTGACTCTTCTGCCCATGGGAATTATTAATGAGAAATGGAGAGTAGATATGTTTTGATCTGTGATACAACTAAAATAACAAGGATTACCTACAGGGATGTTAAAGGTATTGTCAGTCACACGAATCACAATGTCAGGTGCGGCCAAGAAGGTATCTGAGTGACAGGGACACAGCACGGCTGAGTCATTAAGCCAGTCAGGAAGAGTTAGTAGGCCCAGTGAATTCCCCCTAGAACAGTGTCTTCCCTATGGGACATCCGGGCAGGGCTTGCTCTGCTCAGCATTCCCTGCCTGCTCCCGGGATTCTTGAGGGACAGCCTCTGGCAAGTCCTGGCTGAAGGAGACCTACCACCGCCCCGAGTCCTGGCAAGGGTGCTGCCCGTCTCCTGCCCCAAAGAGCTGTTCCCCGGGGTACTTCTCTGCCAGAGGGCAGCCAAAGCCAAGGGGCACTGAGGTCTGCCCTCTTGCAGGTGGCTTTTGTGAGTGGCAGCTGGAGCGATTGGTGTCAAGACTTGGCATCTGTGAGAAGGCAGAAGCTGTTGCTCCTTCCTGGCATGATTTTTGGGTGGAAGTGATTAGCAGCAGCACAAAACCACCATCAGCTGCTGAGTTTCAGAGGACAATTAGATTGGACAGAGAGACTCTCAAGCTTCCTTGTGTTCTTTTTGCTTGTTTTCTTGCCATCTGGGAAAAAAATCAGCCCAGTCTCGCAGGTTCTGGAGCTTGTAGAAAGAGATAAGAATCTGAACAGCTCCCCTGTAATCCAGAAGGAAATAGTTAGAGACCTACTGAGCTGCTTGGATCCCCACAAGTCTATGGGACCAGATAAGATCCACCCAAGGGTGATGAGGGAGCTGGCGGAAGAGCTCACCAAGCCTCTCTCCATCATCTATCAACAGTCCTGGCTCACTGGGGAGGTCCCAGATGATTGGAAGTTGGAGAATGTCATGCCAATCCACAAAAAGGGCTGAAAGGAGGACCCAGGAAACTACAGGCCCGACACCCTGCCCTCAGTGCCTGGCAAGGTTATGGAGCACATCATCCCCAGTGCAATCACACAGCACCTACAGGATGGACAAAGGATCAGACCCAGCCAGCACAGGTTTAGGAGGGGCAGGTCCTGTCTGACCAACCTTATCTTTTATGATCAGGTGACCTGCCTGGTGGATGAGGGGAAGACTGTGGATGTGGTCTACCTGGACTTCAGCAAAGCCTTTGACACTGTCTCCCACAGCATACTCCTGAAAAAACTGGCAGCCCACGGCTTGGAGAGGGGCACTCTGCTGGGTCAGGAGCTGGCTGGAGGGCCGGGCCCAGAGAGTGGTGGTGAATGGTGCTGCATCCAGTTGGCGACCAGTCACTAGTGGTGTCCCCCAGGGATCGGTGTTGGGCCCAGTTTTGTTTAATATATTTACTGATGATTTAGATGAGGCTATTGAGTCCACCATCAGCAAATTTGCAGATGACACTAAGCTGGGGGGGAGTGTCGATCAGCTGGAAGGCAGGAGGGCTCTGCAGAGGGACCTGGATAGGTTGGAGAGTTGGGCTGATTCCAACGGGATGAGGTTCAACCGGGCCGAGTGCTGGGTCCTGCCCTTTGGCCACAACAACCCCCTGCAGCGCCACAGGCTGGGGACAGTGTGGCTGGAGAGCAGCCAGACAGGGAGCTGGGATTGTGGATTGACAGGAAGCTGAACATGAGCCAGCAGTGTGCCCAGGTGACCAAGAAGGCCAATGGCATCCTGGCCTGTATCAGGAACAGTGTGGCCAGCAGGTCCAAGGAAGTGATTCTTCCCTTGTACTCAGCGCTGGTGAGGCCACACCTGGAGTACTGTGTCCAGTTCTGGGCCCCTCAGTTCAGGAAGGATATTGAGGTCCTGGAGCAGGTCCAGAGGAGAGCAACTAGGCTAGTGAAAGGACTCAAGTACAAGTCCTATGAGGAGAGGCTGAGGGAGCTGGTGCTGTTCAGCCTGGAGAAGAGGAGGCTCAGGGGAGACCTCATCACTCTCTACAACTACATGAAAGAAGGTTGTAGCCAGGTGGGGGTTGGTCTCTTTTCCCAGGCAACTATCAGCAAGACAAGCTGTGCCAGGGCAGGTTTAGGTTAGATATTAGAAAGAATTTCTTTACAGAGAGGGTAATCAGCCATTGGAATGGGCTGCCCAGGGAAGTGGTGGATTCTCTGTCCCTGGAGGTTTTTAAGATAAGAATGGATGTGGCACTTAGTGCCATGGTCTAGCAACCGCAGCGGTAGTGGATCAAGGGTTGGACTTGATGATCTCAGAGGTCCCTTCCAACCCAGCTGATTCTATGATTCTATGATTCTATGTTCAACACTCCAGTTGCTGTGTGCTCAGCTGTGGCCAGCAGCTGATGTCCAGTCCATTGGGGAAGTGCAGGGCACAGGGAGAAGTCTGGGATGACAAGCTGTTCTGTGTCTCCCATTAAGGTGCCACCCGCCTGAAGGGGCAGCCAAGAGAAGTGCAGGAAGCAGAGACGTTCTGCCAGTTTCTGCTCTCAGGTGGACACAGGGCCCACTTGTTGCCAGGGGTCATGAAGCTTGGATCCAGGAACAAGGCAGGGCCATGCACTGGTAGGGAATGGGCTCCAGCAGGACCAGAGTAGGAACGTCCAGCAGCAAAGTGTGAGCTGGTGAACTGGGCCATCTTTTCAGCAGACACCACAGTGCTTACTTCCCTCCATCCCTGAAGCTCCGCCACACGAGGCCCTGCTTTGCTTCAGCTTCTGCTGCTTCTTCCTTTGTTGCCCACAAGTGCTGGACATAGAGTTCAGAAGCCCATGCCTGTGTTTTGAAGGTGCCTGCATGGAGGAGAGGTTGAGCAGATGCAGCCCGAGCCTGGTGTCCCAGCAGAGTCTCTAAGGATGCCACCAGTGGCGCTGGCTGGGGACACCTGAGTGTGGAAGGCGTGCCCAGCCTCAAGCAGGGCCGTTGAAGTCAGTCAGGGCCTGGCGCACATACTGGCCCACTCGGCTCCTGTCCTTTTCCAGCTGCAAAGAGCGCCAGGGCACAGAGGGAAGGCTGGGCTCAGGCTCTGCCCCTTGGCCGGGCGCTCCCTGCCCCCAGCACAGGACTCCCCTGCCCGCAGAGCCGTGAGGTCTGGCCAGCAGCCGCTGGGGCTGGGCTTTGGGGAGAGCAGAGGGCTGGGTGCTCTCGGGGAGCCAGGGGATGGGGCTTTGGGGCCGTCCTTACCAGGCACTCAGCAAACCTCCACGGCTGCTCCATGGTCACCAAGTGCTCAAGATCCCTCCACTTCAGGAACCTGGCTGCACCAAAGAGTGCTTCCTGAGAGGCCTGCAGAGCAACAGAGAGCGGGCCATGGCACCACAGCCCAGGGCACAGCACCCGCATCCCTGCACCAATGCCAGGAGGCTGCAGGCAACCATGGGCCAGGGCAGGAGGCACACCAGCCTCCTGCCATGGGGACACCAGAGCCCACGAGTCCTCACCTCTGCCACACGCTGGTTCTCATCATGCCAGTTGAAGTAGAATGGCACCAGCCTCAGGCACACGTGTGGCTTTAGGCTCTTGCTCCTCTCTGTCATTTCCATCATCTCCCGGAAGAGGAGCATGGAGAGCTGCTGCAGCTGGCTGTGCTCCTGGTGCAAAGGAAGAGGAAAAGACCTCAGTACTGGCTTCTCCAGGCCCACCGGGGCACAGGCCTGAAAAGACACTGGGCCCAAAGTTTCCTGGCAGCACTCAGTGCCCACGATGAGGGGCACACAGCCTTACGTTGTCAGAGTGGCCGCAGCGCCTCAAGCAACTTCAGGGCAGTGGGACTGGATATTTGGATGGTCTTCAAGTGGAGCACATTGATGAATGCAGAGAGGGTCATCTCAACCACGTCTCTGTCTGCATCCTGCAGTAGCTCCAGGAGGCTTTCATTCAGGCTCCAGATGCTCTTAGCCTGTGTGGAATACAATGCTGTGGTGCAACCCCACGCTGCTGCTGCGGGGCCCAGAGGCCAAAGGTACATCCCAAAGGAGTCGGGCAGCTGAATGGGGAGGAGGAGAGCTGGGAGCAGCTGCCACAGCTGCCAAAGGCCAGCCAAGGCCAAGCTACTGCCTTGCACAGCCGCACGCTGCCGGCCCGGCTTCAGCCCCTGCCCCCTGCTCACCATTGCGGGAGCCTTGCTGATCACCA